TCCATGTCTAATGTAGGGGCCTTAATAATTCGAACAGGGATTTGTGGGTTCGTTACTATAATTATAGTATAATATACCCCGTCAGCCCTGTTCTAATTATCAGAGCCCCTCTATCCGAGTAAGTCAGCCCACATCCGATGTGCCTTGATCCTTGAAGCAGAACTTCTGCAGCATTCGCAGAGGATGAAAACGTAGATCCTTGCCCCATTGCCCGCATGCCAAGGCCGCGTGTGATTTTACTCTAAATTCCACGGCCTAAATCCTAAGCCCTACACCCCCCAAAAAGTCTCGATGGCCAAAACCCGTAAGTCCATACTCCCTCGAAGTTAAATCCGTCGCCGGAGACCCCAGATGACAATTCCTCGCCCTTCATGTAGGATTACAGTAGGGTTCCGAACATGAAGGCCCTCGAAGCCTTTTTACACAGGAGGCATCTGCATCAGCCCCGAACCGCAAATCCTTGCCAGCACCTCCCTACACCCGAGTCCCCAAACCCCTAAACCCTAAACCCCAAACTCCCTAAACCGTAAACTCCCTAAACTCCCTAAACTCCCTAAACCCTAAACTCCCTAAACCGCCAACCCTGCTGCCGGAAGCTCCATCCTGAACTCCTGAGGCCTAAACCCGGAAGCGCGGCCTTCAACCCCAAAGCGGGAACTGCAAACCCCAAGGCTCTTTGACCTAGGGCCATTAATCGTAACCCTAAATCCTAAACCCTAAGACCTAAACCCTTCTGAAGCCCTTCATACATGCGTCATTCAAGAAACCTCGTTTAAAAAAGGAGGAACCCGCGAACTAGAACCCGAAGAGGCATTCGCCCTTAGCGCTCTAGACTCTGCCAAAGCAAGCCCTGAAATCCTGGGTTTAGGGCTTTAGGGTTTATTCAACCCTTAAACCACTAAATCCCAAGACCCCCCTCAACCCTAAGCCCCATGAAGCCCTGAGCTTCAAGGGGCCAAGTACTTAAAGCCCCCTACGCTTCTTTCACCAGTGCTGCTGGAAGAAACCATGTCCAGCATGGTCATGTGACTGCTTGCGGAGCTCCGATCCCTCGCTTTGAACTCGCCAAAGTTGTCACCATTGCTGAATTGGCCGACAAGAGACTCCACAGCAAGGTGCCGGGGTCTGGGCTACCTTCTGCGATGGTCCAGGCGGCAACCTGAACACGGTCCTCCATGCGGCTGTTCACGGTCATTGCAGCCTGGCATCGGCGGCATGCATGTCTGCAAGAGCCTGCGGAAAAGTTGGGACTTTCATCCCTGCGATCAAGCTCCCTTTCTTCGGAGCTTTCAGCAACCTACGACTCCCAAAGTAGCAAGGACATCTGATCGCAAAAGGACTTGTATGGGCCAAGACGACTTCAATAAGCAGAGCTGCTCATGAGAAAACCGAGTACCTATTTATTGGGTCCTTTGGACCATTAGAGTAAGCAAGTAAGCCCTAAGCCTAAGCCCTAAACCCAAAACCAACAAGGCCCTAGACCCTAACCCCGCCCAAACAAAAACCCTAAACCCCTAAACCCCAAAAAACACGAAGCCCTTAACCCCCACCTTCTGCAGGCCCCCTTTGCCACAGCTGTGCCCGACCTACATCTCGAGGCTCCCCGGAGAGAGCTTTTTTGGGTTTTTGCTTCATATAACAACTATGGCATAATGTACCGCAGAAGCCTATTCTAATCAATCAAGGCCCCTGCAGTAGGGGGTTCAGGGCTTCTATTTTTTTGGGGGTTTTAGGGGTTTTTTGGGCTTTAGGGTTTAGGTTTTAGGGCTTTGGGTTTAGCGGTTTCGGGGTTTCGGATTAAGGGTGTACGGTCTCTTAGTGGTGTGTTTTTCGTTGTAATTGCGTGTTTATGCTTGAAAACCAGAGAAGCTTCAAACATACAACTTACATCATATGTATATATATATATATGTATATATATATATATTTATATGTATATATATATATATATGTGTATATATATATATATATGGTTTAGGGATTTGGGGTTGAGGGTTTAGGGTAATATCCCCATTGCAACCTCTTTCCCCCAAGTCCGCAATGCCTAATGCACCCTCATCCGGCCTCGCTCACGCAAGCCTTCCATGTCGCCGCAAGTTGGGGTTGTGAATATGGGAGTTTCCGAGAATAAGGGGTACCTTACTTTAGGGTCCTTATAACAAGGATCCTACTATTTGGGATGCTATATTAGGGTCCACTATTTTCGGAAGCCCCCAGATTGAGTTGATGTGGCGAAGGGCTGGCTGTGCAGCCTTGCAAGAGTTTTTGGATGCTGTGCCTTTCAGGTGCACATACTTGGCGTGACCGAAACGAGCCAAAAGCCCCAAACGCTATTTGTTTAGGGTTTAGGGTTTAGGGTTTAGGGTTTAGGGTTTAGGGTTTAGGGTTTAGGGTTTAGAGTTTAGGGTTCGTGATCCTAGTTGCTAGTTGCTACTCCAAGGGCTCCTGTAAGGGTTCTTGAAACCCAAGCCTGAGTCGAAGACCCAGAAGCTCAAAAGCCGGAAACGGGTCCCCGAATTCAAGGTTTAGGGTTTTTAGGGCTTAGGGCTTAGGGTTTAGGGTTTCGAGACCCCCCCAAACCCGAAGGGCAACACCCGGAGAACCAAAACTGCTTACAAAAAACGACTACCATCCTGACACCCTAACACTCTCAGCCCGCCAGCCCTGCCCTAAGATAGGGGCCTAAATCATTACCTATAGTAGTTTGGGGGGTTCCTTATTATA